TCTAAATAAAGTTTCTAAAATGTTTTTAAAACTTATTCAAATTTGTCTATTTGATTATATATTGAATAGTTATTATATTTAATTATTTAGAATATTAATGTCAATTATACTGCAAATAACTTAAATAATTTTACTCTATAATAATATTTTAATTATTTTAATATGAATTTAATATATTCTTTTACTTTTTAAGTAATAACCGTTATTTCTACAGGGACATATTCATTCCATGGTACTACTATAGATAAACACAAACTAAATTTTAATATTATTCAACGTGAATCATCTTCTGATAGTTATTATTATATTAATCTCTGTTATTCTTTTAATCTTTTCACTGCTACAATATTTATGTTCTGCAACTTAGCTGTGCTACAAAAAATTAAATATTTTTTATTTTTTATTTTTTAGTATTAATAGATTATGTTTCAATAATAAAACAAAACTCTAAAGTTAAAAAATGTTTTAGACCAAAATTGACTTAAGCTTAAATAAAATAATGTACTTATTTGTTTTTTTTTTTTACAAATTGTTTAATCTACCAAGTGAAATTATAACTATGTTTTATTTCATATTATGTTAGAAAATTATTTTTTAAAAAAAAGGTAATAAGAAATACCTAAAATTGAAGAAAACATTGGTTAACAAATTTGAAATTTAGTTGAATTTATTTATTTTAAATTATTCAATAATTATATAGGTACCAAAATACATGGGAAATTAAATTATGTTTATATTGATAAACAACTTAATGTATAATATATTTATATTTATATACATATGATATTCTAATTAACACTATTAATATAATTAGAGCCTCGAACATTGAATAATAATAAAATTAATTGTTTAGTTAAAAGTTCCTTTGAATATTACAGGGAAAGTAGAAGTACCAATTAAACTATCAAAAAGTATACTAAACAAATATGAAGAAATAAATTATAAAATTAATATGCAGGTGTAATCATTAAAATGTTTGATAGAAGAATAAATATATTTAATTATTATAATAATGATTAAAAAATATATTTATATGATTTTTTTTTATATTATTATAAAAATGTTATATTTGAAATGATATTAGAATATTTTCAAATTTGCCAAATAATAATAATATATTATTATCATACAATAATATTAATATAATATATTTATATAGTCAATTAATAGTTATTGAGTAATATTACATATTACGTTTATAACACTGATATTTTGCTACCTGGGTGATCAAAGCCAATTATGATCTTTTCATATTTCCGATTAAACTACCGAATATGATCAGCTGACCGATCGATCGATTGCATTAAAATAATCACGTAGCGATTACGTGCATTTACAATCAGATTGTTCCCGTCGTTCCCGAACTCTGATCGTTGCGTTTCAACGACTGCAAACCGTATACGCAAACGAGTGCGGTTCCATCAGAGGGGTCGTTTAAATTACCAAAGTGGAAAATTACACTGTCCACGGGCCGTTGACGTTTATCGGAAATCCGTCCGCGCAGCAAGTGTCGCAAAATCACGTATTAAATACGCGTATATTCAGGACGTCGCATTGCCGTCGTTAATCAAACCGTCGATGAATGATATTTAGTGAACCACCACGAGTGAACCGACGACGGGACATGTGACGGCACTCGTCGGTTTCCCCAGCGGCGGTGAACTTTTCAATATTTATTTTTATTCCACTTCTCCCGTTCTCTACCGTCCCCGTCCGTTTAAAAATCCCGTCCGATACAGGTTCGGGATCAGCAGTCGCAATGATCAGCATAAAATTATCGATCGCCAGTCGAACTGCAACCCTTTTACCACTTGACCAACACAACGGTAAGGGACGTTCACGGTGCACGATGTATAGGAATTATAGGATTGTACATTGGTCTTGATGCTGAAATTCGCAGACTTACCCTGCGCAACAATAATGGAACATATTTTTGTAAATCAGATACGTTCGATTCGCACGGGCTCTAGGGAAGCAACAGCGAATTCTATGGGTTACATCATCGTCCCAACGATACGATAATCGTATTGGTGTTTTAATATTTCGATTTTATCGAAGTATAAAGAATAATGATTCTTAAAGAACCGTACTACTTAAACAATTTTCTTATGCTTAATTTATAGTACATACTGTGAAGATAAAAATTATACCACTGAAATTCGTTTGCGACTGTCCGTTAACAAGGCGTTTGCAGCGTCCTTAAATAAAACAACAATATTTATCGTTTTTGTTTAACGTTAGTAACTGTTAATGGACTTATATTTTTCCGAATGACCTAACCAAATGTATTTAAGAGTACCTCATAATATTTCTATTTGTATAGTTGTATTGAATATCGGTTTAATATTAATAAAATAATAACAATTATATTATAATATATCAATGTCATATAGTGTTAACTTTCATTACTTATATGAGTACCTACTACTATGATTTTATTTATGATCTTATATAATTTATCGATGTTTATTTTTCATAACAGTGTAGTCTTATCATCGTATTAAAGTTATAAATATCTTTATGATTATAATAATAATATCCTTTATTTCGTATTAATATTTAATAGTAACTAGTAAGTACGGAGTCAGTGTGAATCGTGAATGCGGTCCTTTCTATTATTGATTATACTATAATTATAATACACGATTTAGTTACACGTACGTAGTTGTTCGACTCGTATGTATTTGACCAGGATATACGTCTACAAATTTGAGATCTTCCGACTTTACAAAACCCGTAAACAGCTGCAGGTGTGGTGCTCGATTACGGATCATGTCTTACCATGAAACGAGAACCAATATAAAACATAAAATATTATCCGGGTGTGCCGGTTAAAGTAAATTTTTACTAAAGAGAAGCTATTCTATACTTTAAAATATTATTTTATATTGCCTATTAACTTTTATAAGTGTTTGATAATCGTGATTAGGTGGGGGTTAGGTGGCTGAACCTCCAAATATGTATCTATTATCCGCATAATAGGTACAGGTACTTATTAAAAATCAGAGTAATTTACTAAAGTGATAAAAAAAAAAAAAAAATGGTTCCGAAAAATAAAATCCTTGTTTGGCCTATGGTTCTCGATAGTCCTTACTTAAAAGGATAAAAACAGAGGATTGATCAAATTGGTCATAAACTGTAATATTTTTTTCAACTACTTACTGTTTTGCACTCTTACCTATTACTCATGTGTAATACATGCAATAAAAGGTTATTTCGTTATTAAAGGTTTTATTATTATTTCATTAATTTTAAAAATCTAAGCTCATGCTTAAAGTTTCATGTACTTTAAGTAAACTTTTTCGTCCAATTTTCCTTTTTTTCATTCGTAAAATCGCGCCTGTGTTATAATATAAATTAATATATTATACTAAATATATATAAATATATACGAGGAACTTAATATATAATTTTCAAGATTTTATGTTAAACAAATTTATTGTATCGACGGTGTCGACTATGAAATTTTCAATTATTTATAAATAGCTCAAAAAATTCAAAATGTTTTGTATTATACCAATTATAATGAATAGTAGTGTGTAATGCGTTCAGCAAAAATCAGTTAACAGTTCCTTAGGTTGCTATTTTTGAGTTTCGATGAAAACAATAATTAGATTTTGTCGAAAACTAGTAAACCGTAAATTTTGCTTTTTTTTATAAATTTTCATCAGTGTTTCGTAATTCTTAAGAAAACTATTGGAAAATTCGTAAAATAACTTCTCTCAATGTACCAACTAGAACTTTTTTCCCTTTTTTTTTTAATTCTTAGAAAGTTGGAACGATTCTTTTGGTCAAAATCGTATACATGACACATAAAAAAAACACTTCATGGTAAGACTAATGTATTCCTTGTCTCACAATGGGGTATACGGAAATAATTTAAACGTCAATGTTTTCAAATCATAAGCTCTATGAATTGAGGCTCTATGTGACTTCAATTTTTTTTTTAAAAATAAAAAATAATAACATTTTTTTAAATGAATTACCAAAACATAAAAATTTGATTTAAATATGCGTATTTGTAGTCCCCATCTCTTTGAGTCATGAAACTTATCGGAATTTTACCATCTTCATTATTTCAGTAGTGATCGCTATGTGTACACTTTTGCGGAAAATCCAGCATGGGATAAGATGTTTTTATTCCAATACATTTTATGAATTGCGTTCAATACGCGTGAGCTTTTACTACAAATCTACGTGCACTATAATAGTTCGAAAATTATAGTGTATTGTTGTAATACAATTTTAAAAATTGAAATAAAAAACCGGGTAAAAATCAGTTAATATTTGTAACGTGTTAGAAAAATTATAATAAAATATGTCTTAATCGTGTCTCAAAACCAACCAATAAGGATTTATTTCGTTATTTTGATCGAACGAAATCCGTAACGTCTAAACGTAGCATTGTTATACGTTTAAAATCCTACGCGTAAATGCAATGAAAAATTTGAAAGTGTAATAAGATACTATCACCTGGAGAGTGAGAAAAAATCTCTGTTATAACAATAATAATAATGATAATAATGGACAGTTTAAACGATTAGACATTTTAAACGCACGTTATTGTTCGAACGGTTTTTGGTTAATGACGAGGAAAGGATTTCCGACGGTACGTGACAATACTGAAAAATGTGCGGGATTCGAAAAACGGATTGAGGCTGGTACAAACGAAATTGAATTCAAGTTTTTAGCACATTGTTGACACAATACATAAAGTTTATTTAGAAACCGTTAGATAAATAATTTTTATTTCAAAGAGATTTGGTGGATGCGAAAACGGCGCTACTCTAACTTCGCTATAAAGTCTACGATTTCATGTACCCAAACGTAATATAGCATGACATTAAACTGGTTATTCGTATAAACCCCCCGTGTTATGGTTTTTCTTCAGATGTCATGTTTTTATTTTTTAAAGTAATAAAAATAATACCGCTGATATAAATAAATAAATATCATATCATCACAAGTGCCTTAAGAAAATAAATAAAAATAAATATTACCTGGAATGAAGGTTTGAAAAAAAATGCTGATCGCCAATATGGAAGGTAACATGGTCATGATTGAATACATCTTAAAATCTGAAACGAAAAAACATTATTCTTTTATTTATCGTAAATGTGTTGTCATTTGCTTTATTATATAATTTATATTTTTTTTAAACATAATTTATGTTTAATTTGAAACGTTGAAAATTGAAAAGTTTACACGATGAATTCCGTATGTTCGTACTTTCTTAACGTTTTTCTACATTTTCATATGAACTAATTGCTATTTTTTTTTTCTACCCAATTACACTATCAGTTTTTTCAATAGCAACACAACGCACGTAGTTGTGATTTTGTTTTAATTTAACAACGTATCTTTGCGGCACCAGGAAATTTTATGTTTCACAAATATAATTACCATGCAATGTATCTATAAAATCCCTCTTGAAATTAGGCACGCGACCGATGTTTATAGGGCAATCCATTTTTTTTTATTAAGTGAAAACGTTTTCAGCGCATGGGCCATGTACTTACACGGGACACGAATTCAAATAAATTGCGAAAAGACAAAAAATCTACTTCCTAAATTCAACGATCGCGGTGTAGCGTTACCAGTGCAATAATTATTGGCCGAATTTAGGCGCGAAACACTTCGATGCTCAAAACGATACGCGAGTGAGCCGATTTGGTGTACGTGACGATTTTGAGCGTCTACGATGAGTTCGCGGTGGGAAAAGTTGAACCGTAAGAGTTGGAGCGTGGAAAAAACGAATAGGCCAAATTAACTGGCGATGGATTCAGAAAGAAAAAAACAAACCACTGGACTACGGTCCAGGGCTACCGTTGTCGGACGTTTAAATTCAGTTTTATTTCGATCGATCGGAAACCAAAAAATACCGGCAAGCCGGAGGTTGGAGTCGGATCGTGGTCGGTCCTCGCATAGTATTGTACCGATGAACAAAGGGATATTTTCCCAAAACAACGAGTGTTCGCGCCGTGCACGTGCACACACCGCCGTGTTCGCTCGGTTGGTGCACTCGTTTTGGGTACGCGGGCGAAAGTTATTTGGGTACATGGTAACCTCGGAGGCAAAATAATGCGCTGGAAAGGAGTAACGAAAAACGAACGCGTCCGCCGACACGACTAACCCCTACGCGCTTTTTCAACCCCACCGTGGTTCGATCGCGTTCGGTGTCCGGAAACGTTTTTTTTTTTTTTTTTTTTTTTCGACCGATGATAAACCCGTCGATGTACCATCGCATTTAAATATCGTACATTTGACGCGTATTCGAAGTCACATTCATACGTCCCAGCCTGTACGGTCTACGCAATAATATCGGAGAAAACCGCCCTCGAAAAGACGCCGTAATGATCCACAGAACTCGTGGTAAGGTTGAACTATATATATTATATATATATACAATAATAATACATACGTTACGTACGTACGCGCGTGCAGATAAAAAAAATATATGTGATATTTTGACGTTATAAAATTGAAAACGCTATAAGAAAAGACACTTAGCCCGGTTAGGAAGGCGGACAGTCTCACTATTTACTTCACGTAACGCTCGTGTATACCTATATCCGTCGTGGCCACTCGATGAAATTGTTCTTTTCACGAAAAGTTAGTAATTTCAAGAAATGAAAATCTTTTTTTTTTCCGTATTTTCTTCCGCACTCCACGGAATATGGAAAAAATTTACTACGGACGAACGATTGGTAATGAAACGAACACTACACGATTTCACCCCCATGTAATTCGTTTCATTGTTCGACCGTTCACTGAGCGCATAACGGAATACGTATGTACCGATGTACCGTTAGTACGCGTATCGTAAACATATTATATATTTTACGCATTGTGTACACAAATCGTATCAAGAAAATTCTGCGATTGTACGTGTTAATATTGCCAGTAGTCCACGGAACACCGTTATCGTTAATGGCTAATATGTTGTTTAAAAACAAAATCGTCTACGAACGGAAATATCACATATAAGATATCGACATCTTTACATTTCCCATCTCAATTGGTACCGATCTATTTATAGTCCGCAGTGAATGTCGGTGCGTCGAGACGAATTTTTTCAGATTTTAAACGACAAACGAATATCTTAAAAATAATCTGCATGTGCTATACAAACGTACAACGTAGAACACCATACTATGGCATATCTGCGTTCAGTCGAACCAATTTCGTGTTGTATTTAGTATTCCATTTAACTAAGCAAATATAATTTAAAGGAACAACATTATTGTCTGTATTTGTTCGTCGAATATTTTTTACGGTGGTACGTTTTTTCATCGTCTTACTTGCATTTTTATTCGAATATCAACATGTGTGGTCCATGTTAATCATTCATATTATTAATATATTATTCATATTAGTCAATCATAGCGATTGGAACAATATTTATGTTTGATTGGAATTTCAATATTTAAAATACAAACTCTATCTAACATTGAATGTATACAAGTATGTTTCACTTTTCACGTTGGGCCTGAAACCTTTGGTAAGAGTTTATTAAATCCGAAAACAAATATTTAAAAATGAATGAAAATTAAAAACTGTACAAATGTGAGTTATATTTACTTTTTTATGTTTAAAATATATAATCAATGGATATTGAACATTGATCAAATGTTTAATTTTTTTTTTTAAATATTTATTGAATATCGAATAAACATATCCATGATGTGTGGGTGATATTAAAAGTTGCTACAACGTAAGCCGTGTAGAGAACAATAACATCTCACGGTGTATAACTATTTGTTTCTTACGAATTTATATCGAAGTGATGGGCTAGAAGATTGTCTTAATTTTTCATGAAACGGCTCGCTTTTCGCGAAGACGACCGAATCCCGTTTCGGAAACGCGAGGCCAAGTGGACAAGATCAGTGGCTAAATGCTTAACGCACGGTCGTCGCCCGTTCTAACCCGATGGTTTCGCTCGCATAGGTAAAAACTGCCGGCGCTACCCCAGCACGGGTTCCGACACGCGCAACGGTTCGAACGCCGGGTCAGCCCTACCCGCATGGATGAATGAAGAGAAATTCGAATTTCACCGAGTGACTATGGCCGAACGGACGAGTGTTTGAGTAGTGACAGAACTCTAGGGGACGGAGACGGGGATCCATCAACGGTCGTAGAATATTAGAGGGTGTGATTATTAACAACCAGTTTGATATTTTTGACTTTGTTCAATACTGATATTAGATTAAAACTCAATAAGTATGATTGTATATTAATTATTAGAAAAAAATTATCGAGAAGTGTATTTGATTATTGGTCTACGATAAGGCGTAATTTTAACATTTTCCCGGGCGTTCCTACGGCTTCAGCAGCGTTTTGCTATCGCAGTGACGGACGAACGCCTCGTGGTGCGCGGCCCGTTACGGTTTCCGATTTCCTTATTTTCATAACTTACCGATTAATCAGATTCGACAACGACACCGATATCGTTGGGCTTTCAACCGCGACGCAATAAACCGTTCACATATGTCGACCCGTTTCATAAAACAGCTACTTGGCGGTTTTGCGAAAACGAGATTTGGAAAAATAATTTTTCGACCAGCTCGAGGGATGGGCTTACGCGTTTGATGTAACTGTTTTCGTACGGTTCTCCCTCCCCTACCTGCTTGAAGATTACATTTAAACTAAAAAATAATCACAACAGTTACGGAAACGTTTCCGTCAGAAAAACACGCTGGACCTAACGCTGTGCACCGCGAATCGGTGCGCGGTATACGCGATCGTACATAAAATTACGTAATATTTATCATCCCCAAAGCACGCGCACGCGCTTGTCCGTTTGCGTACGCCTCTATCTGCCCGTACACGCGCGTATGCAATACGCGCATCGCAGAGCGCCAGCAAATTGTAAAACCATCTAATAACGGAATCCCCGAGGGATGATTTCGGGGGGAAAGGTTGCAACAAAGACGGAGCAAGAAGAACAAACACCGCGATCGAATATTATATACATATACGTTTATCTTAACCGCACTCGAAAAGAACAATTTATACTCCGCGTTGCCTCCGTACACACGTCATACATGGTTACGCGTTATGACATATTGCGAACTATCGGATAATATCACTGCGCCGCGTTCTCCCCCGTTTTCGTTTATTTTATAATATTATTTTTATTTATTATTATTATTATTATTATTATTATTATTACTATTGCTGTTTTTATTATTATTACTTTTCTTTATTTTGATACGTTTATTACATATGGTTTTTTTTTTTTTTTTTGTTTTTCCCTTGTGCAGTTTTACGTTTAACGTCTCGACGTACACAAACAGCACGTATGCCGTACAGAGCACAACGCTTGTAATAGAATAGCATCTTTCAAGTATAAAATAATATATTAATATAAATCACCATTTCTAAACCTTTTTTTCCTTTTTTTCACTCCAAAAACACCCGTGTGAGCTTTCCGACAAAATCAGTAACCACGTACGGTTTGTTGAAGTATACAATTAATATCAGTATGCATACATTATAAGCACACGGGTGCACGTAACAATATATTATGTATCATAGTTTAACTTTCTACTGTGATGTGAAGCAATACTTATTAATCGGATTTGGTAAATTGAGTCCCACCTAAAAAAAAAATGGTAAATTGAGTCCCTCATAAAAAAATTAAATCAGCAAACTGAGTCCCTCGTATAAAAACGAATTCGGTTAATTGAGTCCCTTGTATAAAAATTAAAGCAGTAATTTGAAATATGGTGAAATGCTGTTTTATTTTATTTACCACACTTTTAATTATATTAACACAATTAAATACTACATTTATTAAACTTACATTCATCAGTTATCATATATCACATTCAGCGTTGTTGTAGATAGTTAGATATTTATATAAATATCGCATAATACGGAGAGAAATATAATAATATTTAACGATATGACGATAAGATATACTTACGTATAGTACTTGGTGAATTTATAACTACATCAACGATGATATTTATAATTTAAATACATTTAAATAAATTTAATACATTAAATATTTTAGACGGGACTCAATTTACCGCTTTAACTGTTATATGAGAGACTGAGTTTACCTCTTTAAATT